AATGTTCAAATCTCTAGTTTTCCAGCCACTAGTAAATGTAAGTCCACTCTTGAACAACAGCCAGTAGAACTATTAGTATTCTATTGTGAAATGTAAGCGATTGGTTTGGATACTGCCTCCAGAAGGACGATTTTAACACTTTTCGAAAATAAAAAATCCTAAGACCATTGAGTCGGTAGCAGTTTTTTCTTTGATATTTGTTGAACAATCAAGAGAGATTAGGAAACTTTCTTAACCTTCTTTCATTTCAAAATAAAAGATATGACATAAATAGGATATGTTACCTGTATGATCCGATAATGGATCTCACCGTAGCTTCCAGAATCAGGGTCACTTGCGACAACCTAAAATAGACACTTTAGGGGATCTACAAAAAATTTTGGTTATATGCGTTGCATTAGACGCTTAAAGGCAAGTCTCTACAACTTCCCACAAAAAAAACCAGTAAATTTCCAACAAAACAGCTTACCTTAACCACAGGTCGCTCATCCCCGAAAGATGTTACATTCACGGTATAGATCGGTAATTCAAATTGCGGTGGGTTATCATTGGCATCCAAAACGTGAATAATGATGGTAACCGGTTCACTGCTTCTTATCGGCGTCGTATCAACCTCTCGTGCTTGGACCTTAATTCGGAGAATTTTTTGTCTTGATAGAGAAATTTTTTTTATGAAAAAATTTACGTTTAGTCGATAGGAAGACGGGTTTGGTGGATCGGCATCGATTGTGGGCACATTGAGGTAGAGATAACCACGCTGATCTACAGCGAAAATAGTTGCACCCGGGCCGGTAAGGATATACTGGTAAGTTGCTGGTGGCATGCCAGGTTGCTAAAATGGTCATGATTTGGTGGTACTATATGAGTATCATAGGCCATTTGTAGGCGCTTAGGTAGGCACTATAAAGGAGTTGATTTATAATAGCATGCCATAGGAAGACTGGTTGGTTGGTTCAATAGAGTGCGCAGATGTGCGCGCACTAAACAACGAGCATTTGTCATTTGGCGCCATGTAAGTTAAAATGAACACTCCTTTCCTAAATAAGTTCACAATAAATGGTTACTGTTTCCAGAAACCATGCAAAGAAAATCAGCATTTGCAGCGCACTGATTGAGAGCCAATTGTTCTTTGGTGTCCCGCAAGCACAGAAAAAGAAGCTCTTAATGTTCGCATAATAATCAACGAAAAGTTTTTTTATATGACTTTATTTTACGAAAAAAAATAAAAAAACACCTTTAACTGCAAACTTTGTTGCGGAAAGCCGCGTTCAATTCATCTTACGCAGCGCCAAATGGCAATTGCTCGTTGTTTAGTGCGCGCCGCATCTGCGTAATCCATTGAACCTGCTCAGACACGTTATTTGGGACCGTCTTCGGTCTTATCATGGCATGTTAGT